TCAAGAGAGGTATTTCAGGGCGTTCACTCCAGAATAATATGGGAGGGGGTGGCAGTTGCCTCAAATAGTAAAACAAAAAAAATGCATTAACAGCTCGTGAAAATTATACATTTTAAAAGAAAATGAGAGAATATTTGTGGAAAGATAAGGCAGATATATTCAAATTCCAATTCAAACTTTGTAGATTTCAATCCAATGGCTTTTCCTTAGAGTGACTCGGTAACATCGTTAAAGGTTGATGAAAAAACGGTGTAAGTTTTGCATGAAATTGTAGACAAGCTCTCATCCTTACCTGGGAGTAGAAATAGACAGTAAACTGACGTGGGCGAACCATGTTGACAACACAGCCATGAAAGCCAACCGCACGTTAGGATTCAATCCTGAGGAAAATTCTCAAAACACAAAGATATTTATGGTTTTCTTTGAAGGCTTCACTGTGCAACACCCTCATACAGTGATTAACAGTAAATTCACACACCCATTCTTTATTTTTTACAACCGTTTTCCCTTGAAAATAAGACATAAGACAGGCTTTTGAAAATCTGTCAACATTTAAATATCTGAAATGGTAAATAGAGCCAAGCAATTGCTTTGTGATGATTCACATTCACCTAAAATTCAATCAAATTGTATAACAATATGTATAACTAGGATTATTTTTACATATTATTTACCTTTTCTGTTTTTGTTTTGTTGTAATGGATTTGTCTGGTTTAATTCTATATGTTGATGTTGTGTGTCGTTTTAATCTTTGTATTTATATTTAGTTTGTAAAATATTTAAGAAACTTGTCATGCAAATTTTGTTATCTTTGGGAATAACCGTGATAGGCCATTGGCCTCTGTTTTTGCCACCACATTATGATTTAAATTGAAGATTTTTCATTTTAACGTTTGATATTGTATATATGCATACAAATTGTACTTGTGTTTCTTTAAAATCAGATGTGGAAATAAAACTTGAACTTGAACTTGAACTTAATAATATAGTTGGGAGAATTAAGTACTCGATCAGATCATTTTCCCCCAAATTTGTATCACTAATAATGGTCCGTTTGCACTCAAATTTTCAGATTATCTTTAATTGTACATCTAGCATTGAAGTCACTACCTTATTACCATTTTTTCTCATGTGAACAATGTTCCTATTAAGTCCCTTTAACAGTCCTCAGAAAAAATTGCAAAGATTGAAAAACGACCTCTGCAGGGAATTGAACGTGGGTCTCTGGATTATATAGGTCACTCATAGAAAACACTTTGTTAAAAATAAAGATCAGTTCTGGTCATGCGATTGCATTGTGAAAGAAACGTTGTGGAATCGATCAGAAGAGGTTGATCATTTAGCATATAAGTATTGGTGTGTACTGCAAGGTTCTGGAATCATCAAAATGATAAGAAATTTGGCCCAGTCTTGGTAAAGTTACAAGCTCTGTACACAGAAAGATGTATAGGGGACTACGCACACGTGCGCGACACGTGTGTTATATCTATCACGTCCCAATGGATAAACTAATTTACCAAATATATCAATAAGTAGGAGGCTTCCAGGCAAAATTTGTATCACAACGTATTAGTCAAAACATATTCTTTCACATGATTGGTAATAAGAGCTTCCATTTCATTTTTTGAGAGGGGGCGTTTCCAAAACTAGTCTTTACCTTTAACGGGTAATGCGATAGACAATCTTTCAATTCGTGTAATAACCAATTGCTCTCTTGGGTTCGGAGGATGTTTTTGAATGGCCACATAAGAACCTTCAGGGAGTAGCCTTCATTTCAGCTCTTCACCACATTGTCTTATTACAACGTATACATACACATAGAAGGGGGAGGGGCGAGGTGATTAGTCCTCATCAAGATATCACATCCCATTCTTACGATTTTATCCTAACCCCCTTTCACATTCTTTGGTGTATATCTATTATTGCTCTCTCCTTGCTTTTCACATATATAGGGCCAGATGACATTGATTCGGACCTGCTTTAGTAGCTTTATATGAACCACAGACGGCTACCCTTTACTCTCGTTACCATACTCTCCGGAACACTGCGAGCTAAAAATACAAATAATTACACTCATACTTCCGCTTCCGCTTCGAGGTTGTTTATTGTGATCATGTTTTGCGATTCAATTGGTTCACACTGATTGTACTGAGAAGTTAGATTTTTGTGTAAATTATTATAATAATAATAATATTCCGCTTTTATATAGCGCTTAATACAATGTAGCCCCACTGTCCTACTTATAGCTACTTGCTCAGTCTATAGGGAAAACTTCCCCAATCGGTGACCATTGGTCCCCCATGATCCTCTATTTCTTATGTTATCTGAGAGCTGAGTTGATGAGATAGCCACACTAGTGTTGATAAGCTTTAAAGCGCTTTACAGATCTACTATTGCCCCGGACATTGGATTCAGTGCGTGCCCGCGCACACTCCCTGGGGAGCATTCCAACCAGGCGTTACTTGACGCTCAAAAATTGTTTGACTAACAATGACGGTCGTTTCCTACCAGGTACCCATTTAACACCTGGGTGGAGAGTAGCAAATGCAGGTTAATATCTTGCCAGAGGATGCCAAATGATATTTACCTATTGGGTATCTTGAAAAGAAATAAACTGAACTCATGTTTCTTTTTAGTATTATATTTTACGATTAATTCAATTATAAATTCACACACCATAAATATGTATACCTCATATCCATTTAAGTACTCAACTTTCAAACTGCGCGATGTGTGCCAGTATTTTCAAAATTATATTTCACATCATATTGTTGGGTCCAACACTTTAATGTCTGTATCTAGCATTTTTGTTGCAGGTCGTTTATTTCCATGGGTAATTTTACGAGTTATCCATTATTTGACAATGGTTAGTATCTCCCTAATTTGACTCCCACGTGATCGTTTTCATAAATTAACTAACACGCTTTTACATCTAAATGGTATGTTGATCTCAATGAGAAATTGTACCTGTCTATAAAGTGTTGAAAAACGTAATGATGTTAACGGAAAATTCAAATTATATTTTGTACAGCAAATCAGTTGTACATCAAGTAATCAATACAGAACGATTTGTAATCGTTATGCTTCATCAAAATGATCAGAAAGAATGTACTCGAAAGTGAACGAAAATTTAAAACAAATGCTAACTAAACTACATTTTCTCTAAATCTACTAAACATAGAAAGATAATAATGGTAATGTAGCAAATTATTGAGAAAGAGGAATCAGAGAAATTGACAGGAAATTTGAAGAAAAATTGTGTTTGTGGATGAGGATCTTTGGAAAAAGAGATATATAGAGAGAGAGAGAGAGAGAGAGAGAGAGAGAGAAGGAGAGAGTGAGAGAAGTTTGTTAAGAAAGAGATAAGCAGGAAAAAAGGGAAGGGTGAGAGAGACAGACAGCCCGAGATATACAGAGAGAGAGAGAGAGAAAGGGAGACGATGAAACAATTACAACATGGCAACGCAGAGTACAAGTTTGTCATTCGCTTTGTTATATAGTTTGAAAAACTGAATGGTATACTGCTTCCAGGAATAAACGTGCATGGAAAATACAAAATAACGCTATTTTAAAGTACTTAGCATTTGGTTTAACAACGACCAAGCGTGCTAAAAGCTCTTATTGCAATAACAATGAATATGAATACTGAGAAACTAACAAAAAGGTACATGTAATAATAGGCCTATACAAGTGATGCTTGTGTATTAGTGCATTATACGATCTATCCGCACTCAAGTTAAAGCTAAACTTGAGTTCTGGTAAAAAAAGAAAATGAATTCTCACAGAATCTAACGAAACTTACACTGAATGTTCAAGATTAAAAATAAATGTCATGTGCCAAACAATTTTGGAAGAAAATGTATACTGGCTGAGTAATGAGCATAAAAAGATAAGAAAATCAGGGTAGTACTAGCCCCGACATCATGTGTGTTGTCCCATATACATCTTTCTGTGTAAGTGATTGTTACTTTACCAAAACTCTGCCAAATTTATGATGATTTTGATGACTCCAGAACCTTGCATTACACACCATTACTTACATGCTTTATGATCAACTTTTCTGATCCATTCCACACCTTTTCTTTCACAATTCAATAGCATTACCAGAACTCAAGTTTATCTTTAAGGCTGTATGCATCAATCGTACGAAGCCGTCACGATAGGAAACAGCCTCAACAGGAGTGGATAGATCCTGTATTGAACGAATGGAAACATGCATCATCTGTTTTATACAACGAAACTCCTGAATCCTTATTGAGTGATGTTAACAAATATTAATTTCGAGGTTGTTTAGTGTCATTTCCACTGAAAAATATACCCTAATTACTTTAATAAGATTACAATAGCGTGCACACGTGCGCACATAAGCGCACTTACTATATATGCGCATTTACCTCTACACGCACTGCTGCGCATCGCGTTTTGAAAAATCGTTGGATAGTAATGGAACTATTGCACACTTTTTTCACGAATCACACGTGACCGCGTTTGACCAATCATTTAATTAGGATCTAGGAGTTTGTTGTATAAAAACCTTTAACCAATAACTATTGATAAGCAACGCCTTGGATGCGATTTCGCGCGGGCAGTAACGCACCTTAAAAAACTCTGGAGATAGGTATATAGAAAAGTTTTTTTGTTTGTTTTCATATTGGATTCGTCTCATAGTTAAATGCAAACACTAGAACTGATATCGATATTCGTCAGGTGATGAAGTTGCTGGACCGACAAAACTTTATTCAAAATAAGAAAACTGTTTAAAAGACAATACAATGAAAATAAAAAAGAAGGATATTCATGTTGGCTAGTGGACATGAATAGAGGATCATAATAAGTCGGATTCGTCGTTCCTAACGTTTACGCTAATTTTACAAGCTACTAATAGTTGTTATTCAAAATCGTTTGGCACATGTTATCTATCTACAATTTGAATGTTTAGTGTAGATCTTGAAAATTAGGATTTTTTCTTCTTTTTTTTTTTTGGGGGGGGGGGGGGGGGGGACAACTACATGAAATTACAAGAGGACTATGACAAGGGCTATCCTGAAAAATGCGGCATTGCATGAACGATGTGTATTTATTGAATACTGTGATGTAGCCTATATTATGTTCCTACGGTCAACATTGAAACACAAGTATGTAAGGATTCCAAAGCCTAAAGGAACAGACAGGCAGGCAATTCACATCCTAAGATGGATTTACCTTCAGATGAAAATGGGATGGAATTAAAAATACGTATTCAATTACAATATCAATTATAATTACCGAATGCAATAGAATGGAGAATTCAATTGAGCATTATGATTGTCCTTTCGATAATCACACCCTACACAATAATTACTTTTTCATTGCAGCTACGGAATGTATAGTGGATCAGGATTTCGTTTTCCTCATATTTAAAATGTGCAACAAAAAAAAGGAAAGAAATCTTCACGTTCGACAGTAATTATTACATTCACACTTTTGGCTGAATTATAATTTTATTATCTACATTGTGAGCGTCTCAAAGAACACTCATAAAACAACTTCACTTTGTGACGAATGTGCATGCGGTGACTTAGCATGTATGACGTCATACATAGCATTGGAGGGCGTGACTTTAGGTGAGAGTTGGATGGAAGACATAGAAGGTACATTGGAGTTGCTATCACACGCTGTTTCGTTGATGTTAGTCACTGTGTCCGAAACGGGATTGCATAAAGCGCCACCTACGTCTGTTTGAGATGAGTTCTTGTCGCTGTCACTCACGTCATTATTATTATTTGGCAGTTCATATGTCGGTTGCTTGACCCAAACACAACCTGGGTCATGCCCTGGGTTTATATGGACTTGACTTTTGCCTGATTTAGAGCTTGTCAACCGATCTTCCAGCGGTATTTCGACCGGTACTAAGGATGCCGTAGCACTAGATCGATCACCTGTAGATGTGATACCTGTCGTTTTAGGTCTATGCTTGTCCAAGGTCTGTGTCCGATGTGGTGACTTCTGGCTCCCAGAAAAACCTTCTACTGGAACATCATGCAAAGGATTAATATGTGTAACTAGATCTGTGTTTTGCGTAGCTACACTTTTACTATATCTTGGCACACATTTCACTGACCCCGAGTCTGACCCTGTAGTCTTGTTTTCAAGACGTTTGTCTTTCTTTCGTCCAGTCCCTCGTTTACCTTTTTTTGATTTACCTCCTTTAGATGGCGTCCTAGTTGGTTCTTCTCCACAAAGACACACACCAGGTGCGGGTGGTCCGCCATGAAATGAAATAGGACCGTTGACACTTTTTGTCTTGATAGGAGGAAGGTTGGACGGCCTTTCAGGTTTAGCGTTTTTGGGATGTAATGGGGGTGATGCTGAAATAATGCCCTTTCGTGTCGTCCTGGGACTCGCAGTGAAGGACGTTTCTACTTCTGTTTCCGGTCCTAAGTAGTTTGAACATGTTGGTATACTAGTCACGTCCGTAGTCTCTATTCGAGGAGTTTCACGTAGTAGGGTAACCTTAGCTGCTTCGCTCTCATTAGAGTCCTGTGAGTCGTTTCTTCGCTTCTCTTCTGCTAAACTTAGTCCGTGCACCAGAACTACGGGTGAGCTATGCGAAGATTCGTCTGCGTAGGCTACTTCTTCGTGATGCTTCAAGTGTTGATTAACCAGCGTCTCGCGATATAAAGGACAACTCTTATGTCTCGCTTCACACTCCATAACCTCACGCTGCAAGGCATACATGTGTTCCTGTCGGGTCATGTAGTCCAGGTCTTCTTCATCCTCCGCCAGCTGTTTCCTGGTCTCGCGTTTCTTCTCGTCACGTGCCTCGCACATTAACACGCATGCGCACATGGAGATGAACGAACCCAGGCCTATGAGCACAGGACCGAACGTCCTGAACTTCTCAATCTCTCCTTGTAACTCGTCATCAATCGTTGTTATCGTCTCGTTCCCTAAATTGACTGTGCGTAAGGCAATTTGGTAGGACATGTATCCGCACACTGTCATGGCTACACTTCCTATGGCTACTGCCAACCCCAAAACTAGGCAGACATGGATAGGATTACACCATGTACATCGCCGAGGTTTAGACTCATCTTTACCCGGTCCAGTTTTCTGGGAGTGAGGACTTCCTTCGGCTTTCTGCGATTTTGGAAATGCCTCCAGCGACACGTTTCCGTAAGGTGATGAATGAGTTGGACTACTGTCTTGTGGTTTGCTCTCATCTGTTGGTGATGTCTTAGTGCTGCTCTGCGGGGATGCGTCAAACAAATCACCTGGACTTGGTGGTTGGTTTTCTGAAGACGGACTAGGTATATCAGGTCCACTGTCCTTGACAGGCGCTGAGAAAGGTAGCTTGTCATCTGCATGTTGGCGCTCCATCGCCGCAGAGGGCGCTGTTGAAGTCTCTTGAGATTGCAGGACATAAATACAAAGTGTCGTTACCTGAAAGATATAAGTTTGAGAGCACACTATGAGTTGGAATGATAATAAATTTCCATCAAATGACATTATTTGCGAGAAGGAGCTACGTTATGACAAAGCAGAAGGACAAAGACTCTCACGTTCGTTCTCTCATGATGAACTTGTTTAGTCTCGAAAGAGAACATCGGATATTATCATTTAAGATGACTCAAGTTCACCATCAGAGAACAAGCGTGATCTTTCATCACCGCTCCTTGCTTCCCTACTACCTACTCAACTTTGGTAGCTTCTATTTAAATCCGTAACCTCTTTGATCTTAAAAATGTTCACAGTAAAGAATATTTTGACCAGATAACATATCATGATTTTGGGGGTTCCAATCACATTTAAAAGTGCAAATGTTTACATGTCTTATGAATAGGCGGATAATATGAAAACAATACTTTTGATATTGGATGCACTACCCATACAACACTATGTGATTCCTATATATGGAATAAACGTATTATAATGATGAACGTGATATTACGCCTAATAGGTATATGAAATGACCCACCCCCCCCCCCCCCTCCAGTCTAATAAGTAGCCTTTCCACGAAAGACGTCATAGTGTGCTGTCTGACGCCACTACGGCCTAGGAAGCCTTCACAAATATATATATGGAAAAATCCAGAATAATGGAAAATAAAGCAAGCCCCTCTGTATGTAAAGAGTTTCTAAAATAACATTAACTACGAATATTCACCTTGCAAATATTTGACAGGGATAAAACAAACATTACAATCTACTTGATAAGAAGGCCATGTTTCTTATATCACGTTTACTTATGTCAGTTTTGTGTAGGAATGAGATCGTCAGTTTTATAGTAAATTAAAAAAATAAACTCATTTTTCGTTTATTAAAACCTGTCAAATAATTTCTTCTAGGGTCATTAATGATGTCCACGTGAGTTAAAAGACCTTTACAGACCAGCTTGAGTGGATACAGAAGATTCAGATAAACAAAATTTCCAATACAAATATATGAGTATATGAAAGTTGAAAGATAAACAAAATTGCCAATATAAATATATGAGTATATGAAAGTTAAAAGATATTCCACAAAGCCACTAATTAAACCAGTTTGCCTTTCATTCCTGAGTTACAGAAAAAAAGAAAAAAAAAAGAAAACAGAAAGAATTTTTTTTTTTTTTTACAAGGGGTATGAATAGTTTAGTTGTAAACTGTATTCTACACATTTGTTTCTTAATTTTGCTAGTGAGCGAACAAGGAGAAGCAGACAATTTTTTAAAATCACAAACGCACTGGTATAGATACATGTAAAATATAGCAATATGTATGTGGGCAAGTTAAAGATAAAGACCAGTTATGGTCATGCGATTGCATTGTGAAAGAAACGTTGTGGGATCGATCAGAAAAGGTTGATCATCTAGCATATACGTATGTGTGTACTGCAAGGTTCTGGAATCATCAAAATGATAAGAAATTTGGCCAAGTCTTCGTAAAGTTACAAGCACTGTACACAGAAAGATCCATATGGGACTACGCACACGTGCGCGACACGTGCGTTTATCTCTCACACACCAATGGATAAACTAATTTACCAAATATATCAATTTGTGCAGTGGGCCTTTAAAAAACGCCTCTCTGGGCTGTAATATGAAAAGTGTCTTTTACGTGCACTGTGACGTCTTCTATAGCAGCATTTTCGACCATTATTTTAGTCATAGGGCACAGGGCACATGTGCATGACTAGAGGTAGGGGGTAGACGCCTATTAATCTTGTTTATGTCACCTTTAAAATGGTGAAATAAAAATACATGAGATAAGGTACCGAACTGTTAAAGCCACACTGCACTAGCTACTTGCTCCCTCTATATAACAAACAATGCATAATCGGTGACCATTGGTCCCCCATGATCCTCTTTTTCTTATGTTAATTGAGAGCTGATTTGATGAGATAACCACCTGTTCAGTGACCTTGCAGGGTTGTCTAGTCCCTTTAAAGGACCATGCTGCCTGAACATATTGAATATATTTTGACAAAAGTGTAAATATATTCGAGCACTCGATATCCGAATACACTGGGTAAAATATATTCGGGCACTCGATATCCGAATACACTGTGTAAAATATATTCGGGCACTCGATATCCGAATACACTGGGTAAAATATATTCGGGCACTCGATATCCGAATACACTGGGTAAAATATATTCGCGCAGCAAGGTGACCGAATATGGGGTATTCAGGCACCTTGCTGCCTGGAAGTAACTATCTCTAGTATACCTTTTCAGAAGGAGTGATTGAGTAATAAGACGCAATAAGTTCTGAAATGTATGTACAGTCAATCAAGTTGTACGAAACAAAGTACATTTGTATGTACACATTTAAGTGTAATGCATGTATGCGATTTGTAATAATTTGTTTTCATAAAATTAACGTTATTGCCAAATTATGTTGAATACAATGTATAACGAAAAAATCGGGGTCGTCATCCTAGGTTTAACATGCTAAACAGAGTTTTCCAGTAGAGGCCTCTACAATCAATATTCATATCAATAGTGGTAGTAAATCGAGACATTGTTAATACACCTATGAGCGGAATACTTGGCAGTCAGGTGCCTATATGGGGCCGGAAGGGCGTAGTTTATTTCGAAAGCCCTACCTGTCAATAAATCCACTGGATGCTATTTTTATTTTAAGGGGCACGCTGGCTCCATTCACCATGTATGCGTGTTACGCCAATGAGCTTTAGGGGACCAGGTTTTATTGACAGACTTAGTATTATGAGGCTCAGCTAATAACATCTAGTCTATAAAGATGATACCATGATAACTTGGGTTTGGTTGTTACATCGTATTCCACCCACGTACATCTCGTTTAGATAATATCATTCGACCTGCTTTCAATGGGCATGCTCGAATCGAAATTAGCATAATGAAACAATCATCTGGGGGGCGTTTCACAAAACTTGTCATCAGTGACAAATGACAGTCTTTGTTATAAGCTACTGAAATCCTTGCTTCTGATTGGTTGTCAGCAGATTTGTCACTGTTTTTTAGTCATTTGACATTGAAAAAAGACTTTGTGAAACAGGTCTCTGGTGTGACCATTTCAACCAATCTGATGATGAACTTTAATGTTGTCAGTTTAAGGAATGTATACACAATCACGAATATTTTGTGAATTACTATTTTTAAGGTTTATCTTTATCTTACACATTATTATTTTTCTATCACTGAAATCTAGCCTTTTGATCAAGTGATCCTTACAAATGTCAAGAAGTGACAGGGTTACAATCTGACCTCGTGTTATGCTAATTATATTGTTGTAAGATGTACATGTACATTAATACTAACCATACACTTTTGTCTCAGTACATTATGAATGTTAAACTCCACGATCATGAGTACTTATAGCACGGTGTCATTATATTTTTGTTCCACCATATTTTCTTTCCATGATAGCATATTATTTTGTTTCCATGCTCTTTCTCTTTTTACAAAGTTCATCTTCCTGTTTTATAGAAAACTTGCCATTGCGCCCTGTTATGTTCATTATATTACCATCACCCCCACTCACCCGACGTCCTCACTTCTATTTTCAATAAACTGTCAGTAGCCCATCATATATATCCTACATAAGCTCTAGATAATGTTGCTTTGTGGTTTGAAAAGGGAGATAATATCTTTTCTAGATATCATCAGCCCTGCATATCCTTTTATATACTGCATGTAAAGATTCTAGGTCTCTGATTGGTCAAACTTTAGGCATGCAGTTCACTACTGAGTGCTGGGCAGTTTAGCAACAAATATCGACCGGGCATAATCTAACTTGGTATACACGCACAATACAAGGGCGATAACCTTAGACGGCTATTTACTTTCTTAGACTCGACAAATAACTACATTTCACGTGAATATTTTGTATATCTTTTTGAGAATTGACATGGGGATACATTATGTAAAGCAAACTTCGTCTTGTACAGTTTCGACATTACCTTGGGCAATAGTTTTAACCAAGCCCTTTAATGCATTCAATGTTTGTATATTGTTCTACTTTCCCACTGAATATACCTTTCTTCACACTAGACAACCCTTGCAATAGACAGCATAACAGTTGGGAAACGGGCCTGCCGAACGTTCATGTTATATAGATATGTCTCGCGGGCCTTGGTTTATTTTGACTCGATTGGGAAATATGAAGAGAGAAAATAGCACGCCGAAAACACACAGGTACCACTCTCCTACGTAAATAATCACGTCATAACAACATGAGTCTGCGTCATAAACGCGCGAATACCAATTAACATGAGACCGCCATCGTCTGCATGGTTGGTAGTTGCCATAGCAACGAACGTATGTCCGGACTGGGGCATCACTGGTGGCTGTAAAGGGTAGGAAACCGATTCATAACAGCTTTATTAAACAATTACAATCATCTTAGTAAAAGAAGGATGCGAGTGGATGTAAATAGATTTAATATGCTCTTCCTACCAGCTTAACTTCATTGCTTGTTAAAAAGGTTTTAATGCTTTTACGGGCGATTATCTTCTAGAGCGTTTTCAAAACATACTGCGGAGGGTAAGTGGTGGGTTGGGAGGATTTTCCTTTGAAAGCCGCCAGTGATACTCTTTTTATTATGTTACATTGAAGTAAAGGTAGAATCAGCGCCAACTTTGATTCATAACACAATTTTCATTTGTGTTTATTCTTTATTTAATTTTCATCGCACAATTTGTACTCCTCTCCAACAACATCCGTACAGCATAGGAATTGTTTAATTTTAGCTCATGATTAACAATTACAATTTTTGTTCTTGTCAAATTTCAACGCATTACTGCACATTACCTTTTAACTTCTTTTTCGTTCCTAATTCTCGTCACTCATGGCGCGCCAAAACCAATACAAAATTGGTACAGGTTCTGGAGGGTGTTTCACAAAGATCCTTAGTCGAACTTAACTCTAAGTGTGACTTAAAAATTATGAAGAGCCATTTGTAGCCTTAAAATAAAATATATTCAAAATCGAAAATTCAAGTATTTTAGAATTTTTATAACTTCCACATCAAGAACATGAAATCTCTTTGATAATAGAAAATATGAATGATTTAAAATAACTTTTACAAAATATTTTTTGAGATGCTAACGGCTTTTCATAATGTTTAAGTCCAATAAATAGATAAGTTCAACTTAGGATCTTTGTGAAACACCCCCCAGGAAACGCATAATCAATTGTAACCGGAGGCCAGACTGAATAAAACATGAAACCGTTGTAGCCTTCAATTATTCGCGTGTGTCGTTTGCTTTCTCGATCTGCCTCCAAAGAGACAACAAACAAGTTCTAAACCGAATGATGAAAATATAGTAGAGCTACGGTGCTTGCATATGTGACGACATTTTGAACAAGAATCACGTTTAATTCTATGGCATTAATCAATGTTTGTGGCTCAATGTAAATTGTCTAAAGACAATCTGGCGTCAACATTTAGCCCACCCCCAACGTAAAATCATAATTGCAAATACACATAATAAACATGGCAAACGCGATGATTTCTACGGGTAACACTTCACTGCATATCCCACAATATAACCTATTGCTATCTTCGTGACCATAAAAGGTAATCATAACTGTACACTGATAAATAATTGACGGCTGAATTAACAATACCGTATTTATTTTGTAAAGAAGTACTTGAGTGATACTAAGGAAATAAAGAAACCTCTATACCGTGATGAACTAAAAACCACGGCTATGTATTACATGTAGCAGAGCTAGAGCAGACTATTTGATGCTAACACCTATACACTTTGCGGGAAGTGGTGACAAATGTGGCTCTACTATCTCGATGATCAGATTGTGCATAATACATGAACGCCTGCTGCGTTAGGCTCAATCAATGTCACAACCAATATGGTTCACTACAAGTACCAATGGGAAATAATGGCTTTAACCTGCGTTTTTCAACCCTTCTTTTAGTTACGACATCTTAGTGTTAAAGAGAAGGTTAAGTTTTGGGAAGGGGGGGGGATGATTTGTGAGCGTTATCATTGTTTTATGCAAGTGTGGAATAACATCAAATGAAAAATGTTTCCTGAAAAACATGGCTCTTCAAATGCCTTAATATTCTAAATATGCCATGTAACATCATACAAATCGGAACGAATTTTTTTATGCCACATGTTCGTGTACTCCCATATGGATCTTTCTGTGTACATTGCTTGTAACTTTACCAAGACTGGGCCAAATTTCTTATCATTTTGATGATTCCAGAACCTTGCAGTACACACCAGTACTTAAATGCTAGATGATCGACCTTTTCTGATCGATTCCACACTGTTTCTTTCACAATGCATTCGCATGACCGAACTCAAATTTATTGTAAAGAATTGAACCATATGGCATCACCCCAGTCTCAAATTCATCCCTATATACAGATTTGTTTTACATCATTTATACATGTAAACATGTCAAATCCCTTGACCGAATATACACAATCCGGTTTCTAAATTTTGTGAGCGAGCAAGCACAAAATAGTGATTTTTTTCTTATCGTAATCATATTTTTCGTCCTAAATAAAGACTAGATGAAATATGACTAGATTTGAGCAACTCAATATCCAAAAATTAGGATATTTGGGCATCTCATTGCCAGGAACTATCCTGTCTGAATACTTTGTTTATGTAAATGAAAGTCTTGGAGAGAATAAAACGTGTGATGGTAAGTATGAATGTCTCTTGTTCACGCGGCTTAATTAGACATTTCAAATTTAAAAAATACGTCTTTTAATTGCCTTCCGTCATTACTTTTAATCTTTTAAGTAAAACACGAATGTATGAAACATATTAAAGGGACAATTGATATTATATTGGTTTTAATCAATGAAGATAAAATAGAGAACGAATTAGTGAAAGTTTGAGCTAAAAACCGATTAGAAATAGGAATTAATGTTTGAAGCCGTCATCAGTGAAACACAAATAGGCAACACTTATCAACAAAGTAACATGCGATCTCTTCTCCATTTGCTCTGTAGAAAAAAAAAAAATCATAAACTTTCATTTCTTAGTTATTGATGACGAAATACATTTGTTTCATACAGGGGTAATTTAAAAACGCATTTCATTATATTTAGGGTGAATGTATGATTGAAAATTTTCTTAAGGGAAAATATAGTTTGTTGAAGTTTTTTGTACGAATGGGAGGGGAGCTCGCGGCAAGATACGTCACATTATTGCCAACTTGTGTTTGTTTGATTGCACCTTCAGAAATTCATAACGTTCTTATTTTTGATCAATTTGCGCTCGAACTATCATTGCCCTGTTTCTCTAATTTTTCTGCTTCTATTTAAACCAAGTTAAAGGTAAAGACCAGTATTGGAAACGCCCCAATTTCAAAAAATGAAATGGAAGCTCTCATTACCAATCATGTGAAAGAATATGTTTTGACTAATACATGATGATAAAAAAATTGCCGGGAAACCGCCTACTAATTCATATATTTGGTAAATTTGTTTCTCTCATGGTCTGTGAGAGATATAGGGTAGTCCCATATACATCTTTCTGTGTATAGTGCTTGTAACTTTACGAAGAATGGGCCAAAATTCTTATCATTTTGATGATTCCAGAACCTTGCAGATGCTAGATGCTAGATGATCAACCTTTTCTGATCGATTCCACAACGTTTCTTTCACAATGCAATCGCATGACCATAACTGGTCTTTACCTTTAATATCAGGGTGGACTTTCACCTTAATGGTCCCATTATATGGCCCTGGCCGTGACTCGATTACAGAATACTTGTTATATAAAATAAATCGTGATGAACATATAAATTGTGGTTACGAATATTACGTGGCTGACATTTTATCTGGCTTAATACTACCATGACTACGTTCAAGCAAAGTGCTTTGCTTTATTATTACCTTCGACCGTTGACCAAGGTATGGACAAGGAAAGAGACACTTTGTATTTTAATGGGGCAAAAATCTTTGGTTTATTATTAAAAACTAGATTTACCTGAATTGTAGACCGATATGGCAATAAGGGATAAAGATCTATTTTAAGTTTACTATTCGTGACGGTTGCTTGAAAGTTGTGACTTTAATAGTTCCGCTCTCGATTGTAAAAATCTATATTAAATAGGTTATTTCACTTTACATGCAATATTTAAATTGTCATTTGAATATATTCATTACCCCAGTTGTAATGACAACAATACAAATCGGCTATTTCCCTTCCTCATGAATCAGAATCAGTTGATTAATTGCTATCAACCTCCGTTCCACGGAGATCCATTCTCACTGCTTGCTATCAACCTCCGTTCCACGGAGATCCATTCTCACGAGTTTTAGATTTCCGTGCTCACATAAAAATCTGGATCCACTCTCATAGCAAAAGAAAAAGAATCTCTAGGCTGCGAGACCTAAATACTCTTCAAATCGCCCTCCTGCTTACTGCAGTGTGTTCGAGATTATTGGGCTCCGGATCTTTTCAAACATTTTATTCTGAGTGGACGATGAGGATTAAAGATCGACGTAACACGTCTTTGTTATCAGGATCATGTTTATCTCGGTAATGCCTTTTTTCCTCTTTCATTTTTTGCTCTAGGAATGTTGTCTTTTATAAATATAATTTGGTTGAATTTACTTACGGTCTTAAGGTTGCCACATGCGATTAAGCGCAACGCGTCCCCAACGACATCCAAAAATGAAAATTCTTTCGATGCTAGTCCATTGTCTAATGGTTATTCGTGGTATCCCTAACGTTGTTGGAATGTTCAAATCAGAATATTTCTCATATTTGGACGAACTGAAAAAAAGAATAAGATGTTTCGTAAGAGACACATTGCAGGAAATTGTCCATTGCCCATCTTGCAGGCCCAGCAATACGTTTCCCAGCATTGCAAGTTAGCCATGACGTGTGGGTCAAGAGGGTGAACATTTGTTGGGACCAACGATATTTCAATGACAATAAACGAAAGTCCCTCTCCATTTTCATCCCAAGTTCAATATTTGTAAAAGATTTTCTCAAAATTTTGATTTTTGTGACAACCTGAGGAGACCGAGGTGAAAACTTGTAACATCACATGCATAAGAAAGCAATGATTTAGAGGATTTCGAAGTGAAGAATACAATAGAGATCAATACCCCCCCCCCCCCCCCCCCTCCAACACCTATATACCAACTTTGCTAAGAACAGAAATAATACAAGTTGGATTTCGATGATTTCAAATTTTCAAATCGTTTGTTTGATTCTTTTAGCATCAGTCTGGTGATGGCCATGACACTGCCATGTTCTTTGATGACACAACTGATACACTTTACTGGACGGATTTGGTTAATGGAACCATATCAAAAACATACGAACCTATGGAGTTGGACGTTAGGATGCATAAGATGGGATGGGCGAACTGGACGGTACTATCTGCTGATATTGTAGGTATGATACTCCAAATATTTTGTTATATGTACAAACATAATTATGGTAGGTAAATTAACATCTGCCACCGAATCAATATATTTTCTTTCAGTATTGACATTATTTTGATATTATAACTCTTTATGGGGGGGGGGGGGGGAACCAAACTGTAGGTTTGCATAATTTTTCTTTATAGACGAAAAACGACCTGTTTGCGTATACCCGACACTGTATACAACATCTACCCTACGTGTAAATTATGAATGTCACAGAAAGTCCAAATTGCCTCTGATTTTATTCACTACCATGCGAGAGCTTTTATAAAAGACTCTGTCTACACGCTATTGGGAATGGTTGAATACAAACTAGGTGGGAATGTTTACCCTGGAAAGCCCTGTCAGGTTTTGATACCTTGATCTGTTGCGGACTTGGCTAGTTGAAACGTGTCTCGGCAAACTAAATGTGCTGTCCTATTGTCATGATTGTAACAGAGCCTTTTTGAAGAAGCGATGTAAACGTGGAATACAATGACCAGGAAGAACTATCGACCCGTTGTCAACTTGTACAACGAAAGTCTTAGAGAGAGCCGTCTCAGAGCATCAGTTTCTATACATGATTACAATAGGACCATAGGTGCGATATGGAAGCAGACTTTGTCAGTTTGCTTATCGAGGCCATCATGCAACGGAGACTGCACTCATAAGCGTATTGGGTAATCTCCTCGTCTTGTACAGAGGATATGAAGCGATTCCAATAATGCTTCACTACTGGGCAGCATTTGAGACGATAGACCAAGCCGACTCAGGTACACCTCACAAAACCCATATGCCACTTGAAGACTTACTTTGAAGGGGCTGATATCCTACCTTGAGGGTCGCCAGAGGAGGATATTTATCAACGGACTTGCTCTTGATTCTTTGCTGTCACATGGGGTGTCCCTCAAGGGTCTGGCCTAGGCCCGCTGGTATTCATCTCATACAGAGTTTCACTGAATGCTATTATTAAGGCTTATCAAAGAGTTTGATGTGCAGTTTACGCTGTTGTCACACAGCTAGATTTTGTTTGGCAAGCCAGTGAGCGTATGGATTCCTTTGACACACTACTAAATAGCCTAGTTCATGTTTAACGCTGGTGATCGAACGCTCTGCTAATACTCAGCGGATCTAATACTAAAGTCCTTCATACTACTTCTAGGTAGAGGAAAACCACACCCCTCTCTGTTGTCGATGACTGTATTTGTCTTTGTAGTGCAATAGGACGTGTGTATACGTGTCGGAGGGGGGGGCAGATAGGAAAGAGTCCCAAGCGACACATGCAGGGGCAAACAAAAAGGAAAACAAAAATGATTATCGTTTCCTGTCTAAAAAATCGGGGCAGATAATCTAAAAAAGTCTTTTTTCAAACAAAATAGAATTCGGAATTAAAAGTAAAAATCAAATTTTATGGATAATGGTTGTTCAGAGTTTAAAAAATCCATCTGTTCATCAATGATTATCATGACTATTTGTTGTGATCTTGAGATCTTAAGTTTTTAGCCTTCGCCTTCTCTGTCTCGTTAATAACAGTGTCAGGACTGTACGAGTGTTTAACTTTGGACATCAAGAAACAGCAACTTCACTGGATGACATACCCAGATGGACATAGCCAACGAGCAGTACGACAAGAAGGAGCCGTTTCCAATCCAGGATCTGTAGAATTATCGGGAGTCCCGATTAGCGAAAGCTATGTCATTGATCAGCGACGAAGGTGACCAATAATCTCGCCAAAAATCTCACTTGCATTATTCTCTTCCCTGTTCTTATTTCTTTTGCGAAAGTTAATGTGGTTGGATTTGCAAGTGGCGCTTGTAAAATGGCGACTGGCTGGAATGCTCCCCAGGGAGTGGAAAATGTGCATACATTGTGTTGCGGGTAAGCCTGAATCCGATGACCGGGGTAATAATATGTTCCGCGCCTAGAAACAAAGTATTAGGCGAATTATAAAAGTGAGCTATTATTATTATTATTATTATTTGGATGTATCATCTCACTTCTTTAGTATTATCTAGTATCGTTTCCAAATTGTTAATTGTAACTGTAAGCCATTCTAACCTTTAACGTTCCAACTTTAGATACGTAGCCGTTCTGTGCCCTACATGTAGCCCTCTTCATTTACACCCATTAACCGCATTTTAAGTAGTAGCTACACGTAATGATAATAACCGTTGTTATAATTTATGGTAACGGTACTATCGTTAAACATTGTTTAATCATGCTAATGGAATATTTGACAGGACCATCTTTCCTTATTTGATCTTAATTAGCATAGGTGTTTTCATCAATTGCCAGTGTTTGCACATTTTCAAGATATTATCTATATCACGTTTTTCGGTGAATAGACCTCCTGCTCTCATTTTGTCAAATGCTCTTGCTCGTAGTACACGAACATCGCAAACAGTTCATTATTGCAGGACAAGAAAGATTATCATAAAGAGAATAATGTATACGCTGTTCACATCTCCCTCAAAGTGCTCTACATAATAGTTTCGAATGATTTGACCCTCGGCAGATATCTCTACACTCTCCATCGAGCCAATGGGGTTCATCGAATCAATCTTGATGACGGGGATACTACAGAGCTTACAGGACCACTAGAAGGAAGAAGGTTTAAGGGAATGACCATAGATGAAGAAGGTGGTTAATATATTGTTTATTGCGGTACATAGATGTAGATTGGGTTCGAGGTGGATAGGTTTGGAAGGGCTCCCTTCCCCTCCCTTTCAGAGCCTTTCCAACTCCCATTATTAGGGTAATAAGATAATCGAAATAATCTTGTACGGGTCGCATCAGTTTCGTTTGCAGATGCCTGCATTAAATACATGTCTGGGCTTAAAGGTTAAACATGGATATGGCATCATTAAAACGACCATATTTTTTAAAAATTCGATGCAGAATCTTTTTCCGATGAAAAGACATTTCACGTATCGTTTTTTCACAAATAATATTAAGACAGATTGAAGGAATGTTTTTCCGAGGATATTTTAGCTGGTAGTCGATCATGCCGAATCAGGGGAATTTTCGTTCAGGGCAAATGAGATTATATCTTTTAAAGTATATCTTAATTTACTATTATTTGGCTTAATTTTGTTTTCTTTAAGGAGAACGATTGTTTTGGACGCAAGCCTCTCTGACCAAAATTGCATGGTTTGACCTGAGGAAAATACAAGGCCCGTTCACGCTCATCAACTTTGAAAGCACGGATATGAGGCTGGGGCTGGGGAGTATTCTCTTCGTGCCCTCTGGATGGCTCGTATGGCTAAACCTGATGGAAGATGAAGTCTGTATCGCAAGGGCTGAAGTCGATGCTGAAACAAGGTTGTGTGTGTCTACCAGTGTAGATGGTTAACCCCATTACTAACCAGGGCACAAAAACAAAGCATTAGCTCTTCGAAGGATATAAGATGGAGGTTTTTTCTTTATTTATTTTTGAAGGGAAATCCAACCTTACATCTACTCTCAAAGAAGGCAGAAAACCACTTAAAAGCAAGACACCGACACCGACACCAGACCGACACTAGACCGACATTATACCGACATCAAACCGACACTAGACCGACACCAGACCGACACCCGACCGACATCAGACCAATACTAGACCGACACTTGACCGACACCAGACCGACACCAGACTGAAATCAGAATGACACCAGACCGACACCAGACCGACACTTGACCGACACCAGACCGACACCAGACTGACATCAGACCGACATCAGACCGACACCAGACCGACACCAGACCGACACTTGACTGACACCAGACCGACACCAGACTGACATCAGAATGACACCAGCCTGACACCAGACCGACATCAGACCGACACTCGACCGACACCAGACCGACACCAGACCGACATCAGACCGACACTAGACCGGTATCAGACCGACACTAGACTGACACCAGACCGATCGTAATAATTACACGCGTCTTTGGCTAAGAATCGATCGGGTTGGAGTCGGTCTAAAGTCGATTTAGGGATGTGGCTGAGGTATACAGGTAAAATATTATACGTCCAACGGGACTGTTTTGGAACAGTCTACAAGACTAACCTGTATAATTTGTAAAATTAAAAACCGTATAAAAATACGAATTTTAGCTGTTATTTATATCGATTTTTAAAACGAAATCGACGTCTCATCATTTCGTGCTATAGGAGATTTCTAATCCCGTAAACTAGGTCTGTAATCCGGGTCCTATTAATGGTAATCCGTAACCTGTATCCATGGCGACCAGTTTCCCGACCTCTCAAATCGTACAGTTAAAGAGAAAATTAAGATGGGGTTTGTGAATTGCTAATGTAATCATTCCTGTTGGGTTCCGGTGTGAAGAAGCATGTGATTAAAGTAACTCAATTTTAAGCAGTAATCTTGGATGGATATAATTCATTTACTTTTAACGAAGAGCCCGTGGTTACAAAAAAAGAAAGTGTGGGTGCAGATCGTTAGAAACACCGGTTGAAGCACCCTGGTTGAAGGTAGTTTTGAGTTATGTTCGAACCCCGGACGCGTCATACCAAAAGACGTTTAAAGACGGGAGTTACTGCTACCTTGTTTGGCGTTCAACAATAAGGGGATAGAGCAACGTCGATCTGGCGCTGCTCAGTGGCTGTCGGGCTCACGATCAATTGGGCAAAAAGAATTTCCATTTTCGGTTTAATAAAGTTTGGAGTAGATTAACGGATTAATATTATGATTATTATTAATACCAATTCGCACAGTATCAAACAAAGCTTACACTGAATGTCCAAGACTGCACAAATACAACACCATTATAATGACTTAAAACTCATACATAAAGATACTTTTTACTTATCTGACATAGTTTTTAAAGTCGTTTATTCAACTTTATTTTTGATGTCCAAACATTTACAAAACTCCGTGGTTGGGCATGTTGGGCAAGGTGAAAATGTCCAGTTTCACTTTTGCCAACGATTAATATTTTCGATAAAGAATTGGTGTACATGTAAAAAGCATCGTTAAGCGTCGTATTTTGATAAATCCGGCATTTATGATTTCAACCACCAACATCGTCTATCAGGAATATCTGCAAGGGATTCAACATATCCAGGTTACCATGACAACGGCATCAAAGAATCATATGAATCCTTCATCCAGCTATTATCTCGTAACGTGTATGTTTTACGTGTATACACACTGTTACAGTATTCAGTGGTAGTATGCACCACTAACAGTCAAATGCCTTTCTGCGTTGCCATGCGGCAGCATGCATGATGCACCGAAAAAATACTATTTACAAAATCTATCTTACAAATATGCCATTTCATCACAAAAAGTCATGAATAAATTGCATGCTTTGGGCTACTAAAAAACAGAGAGCTACACTGTATGATAAAGGGGAGTGTACATAATAAATAAAGAAATCAAGAGAATAAAAAGATACGTTCATTGTCATGTGTCAATGAATCGCACATGTTTTTTAAGCTTGCCTTTGCCTATTATGCAGATACTGGTGAATATATAACATTATATAAATATTATATATTTTAAGCTTAGTAAAGATCTTGACATCGTTAATGAAACAAGAACAGTGTGTGTTACTTACATTCAGTTTTTGGTATTTTTGATCGGCTAGCTGTTTTAACTTTAATGCCGACTTTTTGTCAATAACAAAAATATCATTGTTTAACATTTTTGTATAAAAACATCGATTTTGTAATGATTATAATGCGAAAACATTATTTTTGGACTTTGATTCTAACTCTGTTACTTCGGTGTCAACTCTTTCTTTTGGCCATCGCTCTTTCTTATGGTCATCGCTCTTTTTGCAAAGCTTCTGCTGAACTTTGGAACAGACTATCTTTGAATGTCAAAAACTGTCAAACGTTTAACCAATTTAAAACTTGTCTTAAACACATTTATTCAAAATTGCTTTTGATGATTAACCTACTCTGTTCACATTGATGTGTATTTTCTTATGTATCGTGATTTGTAGGTTAATTTGCACTTTTTGATATGTAATTGTTTATCAGTCTATTTTGTTTGTTATAGCGCTTAGAGACTTCGGTGGTAAGCGCTTTATAAGTAACTTTTTATTACTGTTGTTATTATTAAAGTGTGCCATTGAATTTATACATAATTGTGTACTCTTCCTACACTGGCTACAGTGTTCGGTTACTAATAATTGTTTGCCTATAACGTACCCTTGTCATAGATTACGCCGTACTTAAAGGTAAAGACCAGTTCTGGTCATCCGATTGCCTTGTGAAAGAAAATGTGTACAATGGATCAGAAAAAGTTGATCGTGTAGCATGTAAGTATTGGTGTGTACTGCAAAGTTCTGGAGTCATCAAAATCATAATAAATTTGGCCCAGTCTTGGTAAAGTAACAAGCTCTGTACACAGATAGATGTATATGGGACTACACAAATGGTGTCGGGGGCTACTAACCTTGATTTCCTAATCTTTCTATGCTCATTACTCAGCCAGTATACATTTTCTACCCAAATTGTTTGGCAAATGACATTTATTTGTAATCTTGAACATTCAGGGTATTTTTTGTTTGATTCTGTGCGAATTCATTTTTTTTTTTTTTTTACCAGAACTCACCTTTATCTTTAAATAATATAATCATACACCTTGCTTTCTGGGCTTCTTTTTCTTGTATTTCATACGAGATGGACGGTGAGGGCAGGCTACCAATCCCAATAATTTATAAACGTTCAATATATTGGGGATCTGTCACCCCATGTTTAACCAGGGGAGAAGTCCCCAAGTCGTAGATTCTGGCCAGAGACGTCAGTTACTTACAATATTTGGAGAAAAAAACAGTGTATCCTAACATATCCACAGCGTACAATCAGTGAAAATTAAATGCTAAGTCATTGTGAAAATGACATGGTTTGTATTAACACGATGAAAACTTGTGTTTTTAATCCGCTCTGCAGTAAAAGTGATAAGCGTTTACACTGTGCTATTTCTCTATTTTGTTGCAAGAGGGAGCCTCACAGTAAGAAAACAAATTGAATACAAAACTATGAATTTGGTTCAAATCATCTTTAGATCTGCGAGCAGTGCTACTAGAGTTGAGAGTTTTTTTAAAATGGTAGAGGCATGGACCTAGAGGCCAGGTATATTGTCTTACTTGGGGGAAGGCTAAGAGTGCTGTAAAAACTGTCTAGGAAGGCTATGCATGCACTTGTAATTATCCCCTCTTTTACCCACTGGATGGCCGTCATTAACAGGGTAGACTGCATTTTTTGAATAAAATTAGCTCGACGTTCATTGTCCGAAAACGCCCTGTCCTCAAATGCAAGATAACCCATCAAGCTCGCTCGAATATCGCCTGCCTGACATGCTTAAAGGGAGAGCAAGCACAATCTGTGGTTATTTCATTTCTAAGTATGTTTTAGCATATCACTGATAGTTGTCTATTTGATGCAGGTTGGAGTCTGCCGATCGACATCTTATGGCTGTCTACACTTCGCTATCCATGGAATAATAAATGTTGTGGTCGCACCATCTTGTCTGTGTTGGCGTAGAAGATACATGTATGTATTGATTATTCATGGTGTTTATGTTCAATTTATCTAGTGCATTTTCCCGGAAATTGTGAGGAGGAAGAAAAAAAATGTAGGCCGGCGGAAAGAAATGAAACACGGAGAAGAAGATGATATCGGAAAAGATAGAGAGAACGAAACTAAAAGATTACGAGATGGAGAAAGGACAAAATAATATGAGGATAAGATGGCTAAAGAAAATAAGAGCAAGGGAGATTGCAGTCGTATAGAGAAGAAAGTGGATAAAATGATTAAACGAAAGAAAGAAGAGAGACAGGTGGACTAAAGGTGAAGTGAGAGGAAAAGGCAAACAATTCGAAATAGAATAAACAAGAATGGAGAGAAGATTTAAAGGAAGAAGGGAGTTCAGATCGTTATCCTTAGGTATGTTTAGATGTATTTCATCCATTGCCACACGCTACCTTATATCTTTCTCAAATAGACACGCAAAATGCTCTAACCTTCGCCGACCCCCTAAAATGTGTCATTTATTAAAAAAATGGTTTATATTAAATTTAGAATAGCAACGAAAATGAAATATGACAACAGCTTGGGAGAAGAAATACAGAGTGCTTCCGGATGTCCCTTAAAGGTACTATGTCCCTTTTGCAGCCAACCTCGAATTCTGTAGAACTTTGCAGGAATTATGAATATGTCATGTATGTCCTATCTGTGAAATTTAAACGTTAGCAGTGTCCTCATATTCAAATTATGCAAGGAAACCCGTTTTCTTGCTAGACTTCACTGTCAGACACTATTGAGTGACTGACTGGCTTTTTTTTCTTCTTTGGTAATAACATACATGAAAAGAGTTGTAAAGGGTACATGAGCATTTGTCTACATCAATAACCCACTTCTTGTGATGGCCAAGATTAAACTGATTGAATCTTTGCGCAGCATAAAACGTATGACCATTCGGTACAATTGTCTGAAATCAAGACTATTACTTTTGGGCTCTATAGCCCTAAAGTGGATTTGACAAATAATAGTCATTATTTTCCCACTTGAAGACATTTTCAAGCCCCACCTTTTTTAGGGAAGTTCTAAATAAGTATTATCTTTCAAATGCAGTTTGAATTTAACTTTTTCATTTTTTGGCCTGCAAATGGGACATAGTACCTTTAAAGATAAAGTTGAGTTCTGGTCATGCGATTGCATTATGAAAGAAACGTTGTGGAATCGATCAGAAAAGGTTGATCATCTAGCATATAAGTATTGGTGCGTAATGCAAGGTTCTGGAACCATCAAAATGATAAGAAATTTGGCCAAGTCTTAGTAAAGTTACACGAACTATACACAGAATAATGTATATGGGACTACACGGACATCTGGCGTAAAAGTCCGTCCCGATTTGTATGAGGTTACTTGCCATATTTTGAATATTAAGGCATTTGAAGAGCCATGCTTTTCAGGGAACATTTTTCTCTGATGTTCTTCCACATTTGCATAATACAATGATAACGCTCACAAATTATTTTTCACCTCTTCCCAGAACTGAACTTCTCTTTAAAGATGAAGTTGAGTTATGGTCATGCGATTGCATTGTGAAAGAAACGGTGTGGAATCGACCAGAAAAGGTTGGTCATCTAGCATATAAGAATCTGTATGTATTGCAAGGTTCTGGAATCATCAAAATGATAAGAAATTTGGCCAAGTCTTGGTAAAGTTACAAACACTGTACACAGAAAGATGTATATGGGACTACACGAACACGTGGCGTAAACATCCTACCCCCGAGTCTTACGATGTTACATGACATATTTAGAATATGAAGGCATTTGAAGAGCCATGCTTTTCAGGGAACATGACTTATCTGATGATCTTCCACACTTGCATAATTAGAATGATAACGCTCACAAATTATATGTCACCTCTTCCCAGAACTAAACCTTATCTTTAAGCTATCCCCATATCTTACCTTTGAGCTGCGATATGTAAAATGTTCTCCCAGACGAGTACGTCATCGAGCATCGTGTGTTCACACTAGAGCACCTGAGCTCGACCGCTACACACCTCACCCGCCTTGGTCTGACTGACCTTGCACGAAAGCAGCTACAAAGAGATACAATCATATCATAAACCATTACAACACTATGCAATGCACCAAGGAATTTGCATCTATAATAAGATTTGTTAAAGTCCATACACTGGTATTCTAAGACTATAACGCTGACTGTTTTAAAAAGCAGTGTCGGAAGTGAGCATGATACTAGGCCAAGTCGTTATACATGGCCTGAAAACCAACGCAAATAACCGCCGATTAAAAGTTTTTCCACAAAAAATAATATGTAGTTAAAATAGTTTGTATAGTTATAATTTACCTCTTCGCTTTTCGTAATTACGTGTGCAAAGCAAACAAAAATAAGTTAATTTATCCTTAATTTTGAAACTAAGGATAAAAAAAAGATTCATCACAGATTATGAACTTATTGTGAGGGAAGATAGATGGGTGATAAAATATTCACATACTGTTTTGCCCTAAATTCGATACAACAAAGAGAAAGCCTTAACAATAAATTATGTATAGCATACCCTAATTTTGCTTATTTCAATGCAGAAGAAGATTATGTATTCATAATTAAATTAGATAACGGACACGTTGAATAGAGACATCCCAGCTTCAAGAGGAATGTGCCAGTGAATACAAGACTTCAATCATTAAACTCTCATCTTTCTGATGACATTTCTAGCCATAAATCACTTGCATTCTTAAAACAAAATCAAAACATACGAATATGCAAATATAAATAAGAAGTCGTACTCTATAAAGCCTACTCGGTGTGTGACACCAAGCACCGTCTGAATTCATACATGACCCCTAATCGGTCTACATGTTCGACCTTTAAAGGGATCCGGTAACTTTGTCTTAGATCCTTTTAAAAAAATCCCTGATTTAGCTCATGCTGCAATGATAACCTTCAGGTAAGTCAGGAACCCCATGACTTTTACAAGCCGATCGCATGTCTGATTGTCAAGATATTTATGATTGAAAATCGAAATCAAATTTTGCGTTTGCCAAACGGTTTTCATAACACTGCAGTCTATTGGGGAAAACGAGTATGGTAAAACTGGTCACTCAAAGGTTTTCTACTTTTTCGAGGCACTTCTTGATCTTTTTGTAGCGCAATTTGTTTAGGACTTCAATATAACACCATATCACAGACACTGATAACACGTAGGGCCGTGTATCTCAGATTAAAAATTGTTAAACGATCCCTTTAATGCTAAGTTCACATTGAATGGCGCCATACCTTATCAGAATGCGTGCAATCAGTCACAGTGAACACTCACTATCATCTGCAATGTAATCTCAAATCCAAGCAAATAATCGTTTATGATGAGGCCTATATTCTAGCGATATAAACCAAGATATGGCACACAACTCAATGTGGTTTCCTGAGTATAGCGTAGTAGCCTCGGGCAGTATTTTTGTTCTCGTTGCCAAAGGCAATGATAACAAGCCAAAAAGAAAATCAACATGTCACCTTTTGTTAAAGTGCGTCATGTTTGTCTTTCTTTCTTCAGAAGGACAATGTTTACCCGTTTATGTTGTTCCTTCTCAATCTCTCTATTTACTGCATACAAGTGTTCTTCTTGTTATCTCTCGTCCTCTCTAAAACCGCTATGTCACTTTACTTCTGTTTAACAGTCATTACGCTTCTTTACACGATTCACTTTACTGCTCTTCAAATAAGTATCACTATTCTTTACAAGAGTTCGTGAGCTGTGAATAGAAGCCAAGTTACGTCATAGTTACTTCATTTCGGTGAAGTAAACGTCATGCATTATAATAAAATCACTTTTTTTAATTTATTTTTTTACAAATAGTCATTAATAAGGTAACTGTAGGTTGTGAGGTCGGTTAAGAGAATATATCGATGTTGTGGAAAATGATTTTATCAAAAACGAAACAAGATAACTGACTAATATTTAACAATTATGCATACAAGTTATATGTATCAGTATTTGCAGATCGTCTATGAAAGACACGCAAACATGAAAGTTGTAAAAAGGCAACGTTTATCAACAAACCAATGTCTAGTAGTCTATAATGACGACATTAAATATATATCAATCCAAATATATGTACCAAATACTGTTAAATTCTTTTTTCCTTCAAATAAAGCTGGTACAAACCTCTTTTCACAAATTTTACTTAGTGAACAAAATTAATTGCTTTTAGTAGAATAAAATAAAATCGAATTTACCTCTCTATGTTAAACCCCTTGCCTGTATCGTCACTTAGCATGTGAAGACTAGGAAAAGAGATTTTTACTAGTTCTCATCTTTTGGGAGTTATCTTCCAATGCAGAAAGTCATTTAAAAGGAGATATAATCTTGTACTTCTGTATGGATGTGTGCATTAATTTAGACATGTTCTATATTAAAGTTTAAATGAAATTCACATACTAGTCTATTAAGATTAGACAACTGTGAAATTATTGTTTAATGTTAGTGTAGTAGGTTCCTTTAGAAATACCGCGAGTAAGCCTAAGCCACAAAGACCACTTTAACACTATTCTAGAAAGTACTCTTGCATGAAGTACTTCACACGTTCATACTAATGGCTACGTTCATTGTAAATGGTTAGCTGCGTCTATACTCATTCATATAGACATTGCTATACGCTCACATCTATTCAAGCAAGATGGAAATACCGACAAAATTTGTTATTGACTAAAATAATTGTAAGTGTTTCTCTTTTCATTTGGTGCGGGAAAAAAACATTTGACAAGAAGTAGTATATACATATTGAGTGGCATTTGCTTGTCTGCGAATCAGGGATTTCTTATACCTCATCAAGCCTTTCGAAAAATAACCGTTCTTTGCGTGTCAGATTTCACCACAGACTTTCGGTTCGCCCCTACCCATACATAATCATTTGCGGCCAACAATATCTTTCTGATACATATGACGTCATATGGACATGTCGTAGACATTGTTATAAAAACAACATAGCACACATACACATTAGTGAATAACAATGCTTGTTCGTACATCAAAAACAGAAAGAATTAATGAACATCACATAAGCCTGTGTGCATGTGTATCCCCCACTCTCTCCCTCTCTCTCTCTCTCGCTCTCTCACCCTCTTTGTCTCTCTCTCTCATTGTCTCTATCAGTAATTCTTTCTCTCTCATTTCTTCTCACACTCTTATTACTACGCCTTCCCCGTCTCCTGGCCCCTCTCTCTCTCTCTCTCTCTCTCCCTATATCTCTCCCTATATCTCAGGTTTTCTTGATTTTTTAAAATCTAAATAAATGTAACTATGTTAACTTTATTTCCACTATATTTTATTGTAACACATTATATTTATATCACATTTCAGCATCTTTAAACATATTTGTTTCGAGGTTAAAATTCCTTGAATATGTGTTTTAAAACCAACTTATAAGTATAACAAACGTTATATGTTTACGTATACATGCATATACGAACTCATATAATTTATCTCTACTCGGTGTGTCATCCGGTAGGATGCGAAAGCTAATGTGGTTAGATTAGCAAGTATGCGCTTGTAAAAAAGACGCCTGGCTGGAATGCTCCCCAGGGAGTGGAGAATGTGCATACATTGTGTGCGGGTAAGCCTGAATCCTATGACCGGGGTAATAATATATACATCTGTAAAGCGCTTTGAGAGGGCCTCCGGTCCTGAAAAGCGCTATATAAGAACTATAGCTATTATTATTATTATTATTATCAGTAATTCTACTATTTTGACATTCTTTATATGTTATATGTTTTCTCGTGTTTACTTTATATTTTTGTTGTATATACACGGCCTCATTGTAAACCAGCTGAACAGCTGAACTGGGCTTTTACCGTCAATAAATAAATGAATCAAATCAAATTTTAAAAAATATTTATGAAAAAAATTCACCTATTTGTTTATATCTGCTTTACGTAACCTCGTCTCGTTTCTTATGATGTCTCTTCAAACGTCCATTTTTTAATGATCACAGTGCATTTAGAGTATGTATCCTTTGGCTGTAGCGATTTGAGGTCATGGGGGGGGGGGGCTTATGTTGCTTGCAGCCCGGAAAGAGATTTATGGTCGTGGTGAAGATGAGGGGGGGGGGGGGGGTTCGAGGGAAACGTAGCAACTTAGTGAAGTAGGATTTATAGAGGCACATACTTCAAAAGAGAAATATTTTGAAGAGTTACATCGTCACACTCTACTATTTCCCTTTAACAAATTTATATAACACGTTTTACGAAATACTTTAACCGCATTTTAAAGCGCCCCATTTACTTTTACAGTAACCTGTTTTTTTTTGTTTTACTTCTTCGTACTGTTCAATTTTTGCAATTTATTTATTCTTCTGGGGAACGTAAGCCCCCCCCCCCCCCCCCTCTCCCGCCTGTCCAAGTGCGCAAATGTCAACCTTAAGGGGTGCAAGATGGTAAGTGTGATCCTTATTACTTATACAAGGATTTCACCTACAGTGTGATTCCAAGAGCACGATATCTAAATAAGGGAAACTTCCAACACCCCTTGCAATTAGCCTACACATTTAGGTGTCCTAATGATCATTCCAACTAGACCGTCTCCACCGTATCTGATTAGTCTTGTAGGACACCTTGGAGCTACGTTCAGAGCTATTGGGTTACTTGGGGTATACGGTATACTATGGACCTACTCCATGGGTATACTATGCATGAATCGTGCTATGGAAATAAATATCAGATCGTCTTAAAGACCGTCAATACTACTGGGCCAGAGGGGATTAGACTACACAGCGAGGTCACTGACAGGTGGCTATCTCATTAACTCAGCTCTCAACTAACATAATAAAAAGAGGTTCATGGGGGATCAACAGGCACCGATTGGGAAAGTTTTCTATATAGAGGGAGCAAATAGCTACAAGTAGGACAGTGGGGCTTTAACAGATATAAGCACGCCACCGAAAACACAACGTATAACTGCATTAAAAACTCAAGACAAATCAAGAGAAGATTGTAAGAATGTAAGCCGTGTAGCCCTACCACCATGCCACGTCTACCAAGATGAATAATGTCATTGGGGACCATTTATCGGGGAATCCCTGGAGAGAGAATCTCCAAGCTCTTCGATCGGTTAGCCCCACACGCTGCTCAAATTAAGGTCATGCTTCCCAAATTATCTCCGATTGAATGCCGCAATGCCACAATGCCATTGAATAATACACAGACGAGCCATATGGTAGTAAAAGAAAACGAAATGAACTTGAATTATCGCCGTGTGATTACATTCTGAAATAAAATAGGAAATTGTTGCGATGTATAACAGGGTACGAAGCCTAGTTTGGGAGGTTGTGCAATCACCGAAAGAATTGAAAATTAACTCAGTCTCATTGGAAATCTGTTGCAGTGATAACGCACTGCACATGCATCCTTACAGACACACATGTGGTATTAGAATGTCATCAATAGTTTGACACATTTCTAGCTATAGTTGAAATAAGACAGCATTTCAAAAGGAATCCTTCTCACATGACATTTCTATTATGATCTTCAACATAGAAGGAAAAATAACTAGTTAACTTCAAAATTATTATCTCCTATCTCCATGCATTTAAACTCTACTTTAATCTCTATTTTACTTTAAACAAGTAGGCTTAAGTGTCGCAGCTTGAATCTATTTAAATTAGGCAAATATCTTATAGCTCAAACAGTGTCATTTAAACTCAATTGAAAGAAGTTAAAGCTAAACTAATATTGCAAATTAAAGATAAACTTGAGTTCTGGTAATGCGATTGCATTGTGAAAGAAAAGGTGTGGAATGAATCAGAAAAGTTGATCATATAGCATGTAAGTATTGGTGTGTAATGCAAGGTTCTGGAGTCATCAAAATCATCATAAATTTGGCAGAGTCTTGGTAAAGTAACAATCACTTACACAGAAAGATGTATATGGGACAACACACATGGTGTTGGGGCTAGTACTACCCTGATTTCCTTATCTTTCTATGCTCATTACTCAGCCAGTATACATTTTCTTCCAAAATTGTTTGGCACATGACATTTATTTGTAATCTTGAACATTCAGTGTAAGTTTCGTTTGATTCTGTGAGAATTCTTTTTCTTTTTTTACCAGAACTCAAGTTTATTTTTAAACAAGTTCTTATCTCAGTTGATTCCTGATTAGGGGAGACCGGGTCTAGTTGTTACACACATTTCATTATGATCCATGGAAAATGATAAACATTACCATCTTCATACACTATCCTTTATTTAATAATGATGGCAATGGTAGTAGTAGTAGTAGTAGTAGTAGTAGTAGTAGTAGTAGTAGAAGTAGAAGTAGTAGTAGTAGTAGTAGTAGTGGTAGTAGTAGTAGTAGTAGTAGTAGTAGTATTAATAGTAGTGTAGTAGTAGTAGTAGTAGTAGTAGTAGTAGTAGTAGTAGTAGTAGTGGTGGTGGTGGTGGTAGTAGTAGTAATAGTAGTAGTAGTAGTAGTAGTAGTAGTAGTAGTAGTAGTAGTAGTAGTAGAAGTAGTAGTAGTAGTAGTAGTAGTAGTAGTAGAAGTAGTAGTAGTAGTAGTAGTAGTAGTAGTAGTAGTAGTAGTAGTAGTAACAGCAGCAACAGTCTGTCGCCCGCATATATTACTTTAATCTTGTTAATAGCACTCTCCATGATGAAAATCAAAATATCAGAAAATGTCTATGGTTTAAACAGATGGATAGCTAAAGTATGGGGGAAATGAGCGGGGAAATTTAGAAAAGC